GAGAGAGGGGAGGGAGAGAGAGGGAGAGAGAGAGGGAGGGAGAGATGGAGAAAGAGAGAGGAGAAGAGAGGGACAGAGAGAAAGGGAGAGAGAACGAGGGAGAGGGAGGGAGAGAGGGAGGGAGAGAGAGACACCACATTCAAATAACGTGTGCTGCAGTATATTGTTAGGACTAAACATCTGTCTTATTTTTACTGTTGCTAATCTCTTACGCGCCCGATGTCTAACTGCGACTTTATCATAGATGTGCGCGCACAGGACCAGCAGAGAGTGTGTAGAGGTTGGCACGCTGTGATTTCAGCATCCACCTGGGGTCTTGGAACACATTTCCTGAGGATAGAGATTTACTTACTATTGTCAACCAACAATGCTGGGTGGCAAGTAACAGGTGCTCAGGGAGGACCTCTCCAAGGAGGTGACATCTGAGCAGGAATGCAAAGGAGAGGAGTGGCCTGTGTGGGGGTGGGGCCAGCAGGTGCAGGTGGGGCTGCCTGCGAGGGCAGGTGGGGAGCAGGGTACCCGAGGGGAGGTGTTCACTTTCTCACTCTCTCCCCCTAGCGCCAGGGCTCCCTGCCCCAGCTCCACCTCGTGAAGGTGATGGCAGCCCCTGCTCTGTCCTGGTGTCACCTCCTCCTCCTCCTCCTGCCTCTGGCGTCTGCAGTGGTGAATGGTGAGGACCCTGGCATCTGGCTGTGCTTTCCCTGGGGAGGGGGCCCAGGCCTCTAGAACCCTTCCCAGGTACCTACTTCTGGGTCGCAGGAGGCAGGGGAGGAGGGTCGGGCCAGTGGGGACCAGGAAGCAGGCGTCCACCTCCCCGCTGGGCCCTGGGCTGGTCCCTGCTGCAGGACCTGCCTCTCCAAGCCACAGAGAGGCTGTTTCCTCGCCCCGGGGACCTGAGGAAGGCTCTGAATCCCTTCTCCTCGGGCCAGAGTCGCCCCCTCCTCCTCTGGCAGGAGCAGGGAGCGGGAGCAGGGTGGTGGCCTGCCCGCGTCCCCCCGCGACCCTCCTCTCACTGCCTGCCTGCCCACAGACACTTCGCAGCTCTCGTGCTTCTACAACTCCAAAGCCAACATCTCCTGCGAGTGGAGCCGGGAGGGGGGCCCGCAGGGCGTGTCCTGCCAGCTCCACGCCAAGTCCAACGTCCGGTGAGTGTGGCCCCTGGAATCGCGGCAGGACCTCGGGGGCCTGGGATCTGACAGCCACCGAGTCCTGCATATCGGGCCCCAGGAAGCCACTGAGAACCTCGGGCCAACAGGACCCGGCAGGGTAGGACAGTCGCTGTGGCCAGTCAGCTGTTCGCACCAGGGTCCAGGCCGCAGCCTGGGGGTGGCCCTGAGCTGGACAGGTGTCTGGGGTCAAGGGGAGGCCTCCTGCTCCCCGAGGCTGGGCTCCATTGTGGGCTGGGATTTTGAGAGGACTCCCCCGCCTTGGGCAGCTGTGGGGACAGGGAACCATTAGCTGGATCAGTGCTGTCTTGTGGGGACAGGGAAAGGGAGTGCCTGGGGACCCGGGGGCTGGGAGGGAGCTGGTGAGGGTGTCTCTGGGTGCAGTCTGGTCCCCGCAGGCAGGGAGGCAGGGAGGCTGGGCAGAGTGGGCTCTGTGGGGCGGGGTGGGCAGCGGGAGGCCGGTGGAGCCTGGGCCTGGCTCCTGGTGGCACTGAGTCCTGGGGCTCTGGAGGCCAGGTTCAGGACGGCACCCTGAGCCCTGCGGAGCTCTGGGCTCTGGATGGCTGGCGAGGGCGGGGAAGGCGCTTGCCCCAGGGAGCACTGGGGGGCAGGTGGGGGTCGGGTCCTCTCCAGGTGGCAGAAGAGCTGCCCAGGGCAGAGAGGGGTCCCCCCCCAGTGCGCGGCCCTTCCCTCTTCCTCAGGACGCCCTTTTGCCTTGCAGGCCCTGGAACAAGACCTGCGAGCTGTCCCCGGGCAGGCAGGCGTCCTGGGCCTGTGACCTGGTCCTCGGGAAGCCGGATGTGAGTAGCCCAGCCGTGAAGCTGGGGTCCAGCTCCGGACGGGGTCTCCAGAGGCCCTGGAGCCGACACGCGTGGCCAGGCCACCTCCCCGGCTCCCGGGCTGAGGAGGCGGCGGCAGGAGGGAGGGGACCCGGGGTCAGAGCTCAGCCTGGCCTGGCTTGCCCTGGACCAGTGAGGCCATGCGCCTCTGTCCAGGCCGCGTCCCCCGCGCTCTGTGGGTCCTGTGACACACCCATCGTCCCTGTCAAATGGGGACAGCCCCAGTAACAGGACACCCACAGGGGACTCGTGCTAGGGCTGGGCACGCAGGGCGATAGGGCCGTGTGGGGACTGAGCTGGACAGCAGGGCTGGTGGCATCGTCCCCCAAATGGATGACCTTGGGCAGCTTCAGTGCCCTGGTGTCCCCTCTGTGAAACGGGAGCAGTAATGGCGGCTCCCCGGGGGGAACTCGAGAGGCTGGAGCGCGTGGACGGGCGCTTGGCTTTGTTGCTGTCCATGGGTCCTTACATTGTGAGTGGCCCCAGCACCGTCCCTTCTCACTCATGAAGAAAGGAGGGTCAGAGGGGTGGGCCCCTGCCCGAGGTCACAGCCAGGGAGGGCACAGCTGGGACTGGCCCTGGCCCTGGGGGCTGCCGGCTGGCTGCCTCTGGGGGGCTCATGGCCGTATCCCGGGTGGCATCTGGGCACTCTCCATCAGGGACGCCCAGGCCACATTTTCCTTGGCTTCTGTGGGTTCTCGAGGGTCAGGGGACAGGCGATGTGGCCACAGGTCACAGTGAGGAAGGCGTGGCCTCTGGAGCCACAAGAGGCCACCTGGGAGCAGTGCGGGAGGCCTTGACCTGAGGCGGTCCCCGAGCCCCCCTGCGGCTGGCAGCCACACGGCCCCTCTTCCCTGCAGTCCCAGCCCGTGAACTCGGTGGACGTCCTCAACATCAGCGTGGTCTGCTGGGAGGACGGGCGGTGGCGCCTGCTGAAGAGCCAGGCCTTCAGGCCCTTCCACAGCAGTGAGTGAGGGCCGGCGGGCCGGGCGCCCCTTCCTGCCTTGCAGGGCTCTGTCCCCATCACCACCCGCCAACAGCTCCCACCCTGGGCTCAGGGGTGGCCCTGGCTGTCCTCCCTGGCCCCCGCCCTGCAGCCTGGACCTGAACCCGGGCCACCAGCAGTGCCTCTGAGCCCCGGGCGTGCTGGGCCCATCTGGAAGGCCACCCACCCAGGAGGTCCCCCCACCCTGAAGGCTCCGAGGGTCCCCTCCTCCAGCCACCCACCCGACGCCCAGCCCTGAGCTCAGCCGTCTGACGTGTCACTGCCTCGCTCGCCCTGGGCTCCTCTCTGAGCACCTGGCCCCAGGCCTGTGCCCAGCAGGGCTCTGGGAAGGTTGGCTGGAAGTGGCCGGTGGCCACCCCCTTCCCCTGACCTGGGGGACCTCTCTAGGGGAGAGCTGGGTGGCGAGAACCAGGGGTGCAGACTCCGGAGGTACCCAGAGCCGCCTGGCCACGGTCTGGTGAGGGACTCTGAGCCCAGTCGAGGAAGCCGCTCGGCACGTAGTTGGCTCAGACCTGAGCCCTAGAGAGGAGGGTCAGCTTCAGAATCCCCTGTGACCATCACATTGAAAACCAGGGGCCATTCCAGGGCCAGGGCACCGGGCACCTCAAGTCCTGCCCTCTGTGGGGCTGAGACAGAAAAGGGAGCCACAGCAGACACTAGCGCCGTGGGTGGTCACTGCTGGAGGGACAGCAGCAGGCTGGCGGCCAGGAGGCTCTGAGCAGGGACCTGCAGGAGGGGACAGCCCTGAGCATGGGGGAGGGGAGGGACGGCGGCCAGGAGGGAGGGTCAGTGGTGCAGGGGTGCCTGACGGTCTGCTGTCACCACCCAGAGGCACCCAGCTGTCCCTTCTTCTCTCCTGTCCCCAGTGCGCCTCTTGGCCCCCGACTCCCTCCAGGTCCTCGAGGTTGGGACCCACACATGCAATGTGACCTGGCGCACCTCCCTGGTCTCCCACTACATCGAGTCCTACCTGGAGTTTGAGGTCCGCACGCGGTCCCCGGGCCACAGCTGGGAGGTAGGAGGCGGCCCAGCCCGGCCCACCCGGCTCCTCCCTGTCCTGCTGCATGTCCACTTCCTGTCTGTCCTCCAGGTCAGCCAAGTCCCGCCAGCCCCAGGCAGGGGCGGGTGGCTGAGTTGTCCTCACCTCCCCCACTGCATGGTGCTGCCCACCGCCTGGGGATGCAGCTGGGGTGCATCCACACAGCCCCCAGGACAAGACCCATGAAGCCAAGGGGCAGCTGCTGCCCACCGTCTGCCCCGTGTGGCTTCAGAGGGCAACGAAGCAGCCTCTCCACGCTCCAGAGTGCCCTGTCCGGGGGGCCGCGGGTCCCCACTTACTCCTCTGTTCACTTGATCCCTCTCTGCACTCGTTTACTGAGCGTGGAAGGCCAGGCTGGGGAGCTGGCCACTCTCGGGGACTCCGACACACGCTCCCAGGGAGGGCGGTAGGCAGACACGAGGATGCGAGATGGGGACATGGATTGACAAGGGCCACTTGGGACTCAGGTGACCTTTTTCCAAATACAGAGGACGTCATGCCTCTCACAGGCAGGACGCAGCCCACGTGTCTGGGGGACAGGAAGAAGGGAAAGAGGCGTCCGAGGCGGGTGGGCACCTGTGGAGCCACCCCTCTTCCTCGCGGAGATGGGACTCCAGTGGAGGTCCCCAGGTGGCCTCTGGTGGAGACACCCACGGGCAGACGGCTCAGTGTGGAGGTTGCAGGGAGTCAGGGTGACCCTGGGGCTTGGGGACCCAGCAGCTGGGCAGTCAGGGAGCCATCGGGAAGGCTGGGAGAGGGGTGGCAGATCAGGGCGGGCGCTGCTGGGCCAGCGTCCTGGCTCTGCCGTGGGAGGTGCCGTGGGCAGTGGGGGCCTGTCCCCCCATGCTGACAGCCCTGCCCCTGCCCAGGAGGCCGCCCTGCTGAGTCTCAGGCAGCAGCAGCAGTGGATCTGGCTGGAGCAGCTCACCCCGCGCACCCTGTATGAGCTGCAGGTGCGGGTCAGGCCCCAGCGAGGCGACCACACTGTGTGGAGCCCCTGGAGCCAGCCGCTGGCCTTCAGGACGAGGCCTGCAGGTACCGGGGCTGCGGGCACCTGGGGGTGGCTCTGGGGCAGCGGGTGGGGCGCAGAGCTTGCCCCCAGGCCCCTGCTGGCTCCTGATGCAGCCTGCGGGGACAGGGCCCACCCAGGGGAGGGACTTCCATGGCCCGTGGCGGGTGCAGGGCGGGTTGGCACCCTGTGACGTTCAGGCTCAAGCCAGGACGGGCCCCTGTGTGCCCCCAGATGGGCCCGTGGGATCGGCCGAGCCCGGGGGCTCTGGAGTGTCATTTCCTTTAAGCGTCACGCCTGGCTTCCTGGAGGGGTGGCCTTAAGCGGGACCCCAGCCCCCAGCACAGGCGCCGGGCAGGACGCGGGCCTCTTCTCTGACCGTCTCCTGCTTCCCTCCCCCCTGGGCAGCCCCTGGGAAGGAGCCCCTGTCTCTGCCCTGGTTCAGCCACACCATCCTGGGCCTCGGGGTTGCCGTGGGCCTCATGGTCTCCGTCTACTTCCTGGCCAACTTCGGGTACATCGGGCCGTGGTAAGAAGGGCCCTCTGCTCCTCGCGCTCTTACCCAGCGGGCACTCCCGCCAGCTGGCTCTGCCCTGAGCCCCTGCCCCTGCCCCACCTGCACCTGCTCCCAAGGGCCGGCCCCACCAACACCTGGCCTTGCCCTGAACAAGGGAGAGGAAGGAGGGTGGGGACAGGAAGTGTCAGCCCAAGGGGGGGAGTCGGGGAGGCCACGGCCTCCAGGGAGAGCCCCTGAGCCCTGCCCTGGGCAGTGCCCTCTCTGCGAGCCTGGGTCCTGCCGGGTCTGCCCAGGCTGCGTGTCCACTCCTCCAGCCCTCTCTGTGCTGGGAACACCAGCACCCAGGGCAGCCCGTGAGGAGGCGGGTGCTTCCTAACCAATAGGCAATGACGCAGACAGGGACGGCAGGTACCAGGAGTCAGGAGCAGGTGACAGGGAGAGGGACCTCGGCTGGGGGGTGCGGGGGTCGTGTCCCCCAGGAGAGGATGATGCCCTTGGAATCTGAAGGAGGAGCTTCCCAGGTGGGGCGGAGGGGACGGGGAGCCCTGCAGGCAGAGGAACGGCAGGTGCAAAGGCCCTGGGTAGGAAGAGGGAGGGACCTCAGGAACACAACTCCGGGAGGCCGATGTGGCCGGAGCCCAGAGGGAGGCTGACCTTGAACCTGGACTTGTGGGCAGTGTTTGCTTTCTGGGGTCTTAAAAAAGGCCACAGTGAGGACCTGGTGCTGTGTGCCTGGTGGCCTGGGACCAGGGCTGTTGGCTGTGGTTCTCGCTCCTGTGTGGAAGGGTAGTGAGGAGGCCACCCCTCTATCCAGGGACACTGCCACCTGAGGTCAGCCCTGGTGCTACTGAAAGGAGAGACAGCCCTGGACTGTGCCCAAAATGTGTCCATTTGCAACATCCCTTTTGACTCTCCACAGTCAGGGAAGGCAGCGAGTCAGGGGCTGCCACTGGATTTTAACCTGCCTGAGGTCACACAGCCAGTTAGCAGTGAGGCTGGGGTGGAAGCCCCACTCTCCTGATCTGGGCCCAGTGTGGTGGTTCTGACATTCTCAGCCCCCCTCAGTCCATTCCTGTGTCATGCTCTATCTAACACTCTTCAGAGACTTCCCACTGTCCCTGGAATACACCCTGACGGTCCAGGGCCTCCACCAGCCATTTGGAACTTTAATGCAAATAAGAAAACAGTGCCCTTTTCCTCAGGCAGATGCACACAGATCTCTGACACTCAGCTTGGCAAACAACAGGGCTGGAATTCAGCCCCCCACTCACTGTCCACCCACCAAAGCCAGATGCCCTTGGACAGTGCACGACCTGAACCATTACCCATGGCATCCCTGACTAGGAGGACTCTCTCCTACTTCCCTTCTCATGCCTCACTCTGTGCCAGCCACCTCCAACCCTGACCACTCTGGCTTGTGTGGTCTCTGCCCACCTCTGCGTCCTCTTGAGTACACTCTGCTCCACAGGATGGTGGTACTGTGGCATGCCTGGTATATGTCTGTCTCCTCCTCAGAATGTCAGCACCCTGAAGTCAGGGACCTTCTCTGGTGGCCATTCCTGTGTCCCCAGAACCCGCCCAGCATCCTCCTGCAGTGGGGCCTTGATCATATTGGCTGCATGACTGGGTGAATGTGGACTGGCCTGTGACCTGCCCGCAGAGCTGTGGGCTCTGGCAGGGGACACTGCGGCCACTTCCTCTCCTCACCCTCCTTCCTCTCCCTTGTTCAGGCTGAAGAAGGTTCTGAAGTGTCGCATCCCAGACCCCTCAGAGTTCTTCTCCCAGCTGAGCTCCGAGCACGGAGGAGACCTGCAGGTAGGAGCGGAGGCACGCAGTGGGGACAGTGGGGTGGGGAGGTGGCTACAGCCGTAGCGGCTTTTGCCCTGAGTGAGAGGAGACAGAATGACAAAGTGTGCTGTCCCCAGTCAGGTGCAGGCTCCTGTCCCTGACTCTGGCACGGACACCCTCAGGCTGTGGTACCTGCCATCCACATGGCTGTGTGACCTTGGGCAACCGTAGAACCTCTCTGTGCCACAGTTTCCTCACCTGTAAAGTGGGGAGCAAACAGGATTGTGTGAACTGCCCTGTGAACAATGCCTGGCCCGGGGAAGTGCTCCAGGGACAGGGGGAAGACTGTCTGCTGCCTGGCCCCTGGGCAGCCGGCCACTTATCACAGACATCAACAGGTCCTCAGCCACCTGGGGTCCTAGATCGGGTTTCTTTGAAGAGGCAGCCCAGAGTGGGGTCAGGGGACACCTGAGCTTTACCTGCAGCCCCAGCCCCACCCTCCCCAGCCCCACCTGCTTCAGGAGCCCGGGGATTGGGAGGGGATTCTGCTCCCCCCTATCCCATGTAGGGCCCCCAGGTCAGGAGGTCAGAGGGCGGTGGGGGACAGGAGGGCCATGTGGGGCCCGCTGTCAGGAGCCGCTGTGTGTTCTCAGGACCGAGCAGGGGTCCCTCCTGGAACCTGCAAAACTCCGGCTACCCCACCCCTGAGGGGGGCGTGGGGTCACCCTTAGAGCCCTTCCCCCGGTGTCAAGGTAGCGGGATCCCATCAACAAAGGCCAGGCTCGCGGGCTGTGTCGGACCACAGCAGGGGCTGCGACTGGGCTGGGGGCTGGGACTGGGCTGGCGGCTGCTGTCCCCGGCACCCCATGCCTCTTCCAGCCAAAGCCCCAATTCCGAGGGCCCAGGGTGCCCCGAGGCCGGAGTCAGCTCCTTCCTGGAGAGGGAGGCCATGCGGTCATCCCTGGGGCTAGGTCCTTGGCCCAGGCCTGGCGTGGGGAGGGGACATCCCTAGGAGGCCCAGAGCTAGCGAGGCTTCCCCTCAGTACCTGGGGGAGAAGCCGGTCCTGCCCCGCCTACCCCAGGCCCCAGCCCCAGGGTTACCAGGCCACGCGGCCACTACTGGCTGGGCCTACGGATCAGCGTGTGCACGTGGGCATGTGCACGTGGGTGTGTGCAGGGGCTGGGCTTCTCCTAGGTGTCCCGCAGGCCTGCAGGCACAGCGAAGGCCCCGGAGAGCCAGGCTCTCTGCTGCTCTGTCAGTCCCCTGAGTAGGAGGTCTGGGCCCTCGGGCCTGTCAGGGGCAGGGCAGCCCCCGGTCCCTGCTGCTGAGGGTTCCCAGGACCCAGGGCTGCTGGATTCTCTGACTCACCCACCCTGCGGCGGGTCACACTGGGCCTCATCCTGAGGAGCCAACTGTCCCCTGACCTCTGCAGCCCACACTCTACGCTGTGCTCCGCAGCCCCCCCCCCCCATTTTCTTACCTGACATCTATCTCCTCACTGACCCAACAGACGGCAGTGAGGGCGTCAGAAGGAGGTGGCTGACCTCTGTGGAAACAGGCTCAGAGAGGTGTAGTGGCCTGCCTGGGGTCACACAGCGGGGAAGTGCCAGGCTCGGGGCTGGAACCTGGGTCTCCCCACTCCACACCAGGACTGTGTGGGCTTCTGAGCAGCTGGGACCTGTGGGTGGGCACTTGCTTTCAACAGGGAGGGCGAGGGGCTGTGGGGCACTGGGAGGGAGAAGAAAATGAGGGCCCGCTGTCCCCCGCATTAACACAGAGATGTTTCCTGGGTCCCGGCTCTGCCCCAGGTTGCCTGTGACAGGCAGCCTGGACCCTGGGCCATCTGGACTGTGTCCTTGGCCCAGGCCTGGCGTGGGGAGGGGAAGTGTGCCCTCATGCACACACCCGCATGCACAAGCCCCATCAGCGGGTCAGGCCAGTAGTGGCCCCGTGTCCCCGTGGCCTGGTAACCCTGGGGCTGGGGCCTGGGGTAGACGGGGCAGGACCGGCTTCTCCCCCAGGATGTGCCCTTGGGCCCTGGTGCCATTAAGTTGGGGCCTGGTCCACGCACTCTCACGGCACTCTGGGGACTCTGTCTCCTGCTGTGGCAGCTGGACACAAGCAGGTGCCCACACAGAACCCCGAAGTCCCCTGGGCCCTGGTGAGCCAGAGTTGTGCAGAGCCCAGGGGTGGGGTGGGCCTCCTGGGGGCCCGCGGGGACAACCGCGGCCTCACGCTGGCGGGGCCTTCTCCCTGCAGAAGTGGCTCTGCTCGCCCCTGCCCTCCACCTCCTTCAGCCGGGGCGGCCCCGCGGCCGAGATCTCGCCGCTGGAAGTGCTGGACAAGGACGCCAAGGCCACACAGCTGCTCCTGCTGCAGCAGGACAAGGCGCCCTCGCCCTCGCCCAGCGGTCACTCGCAGACCAGCTGCTTCACCAACCAGGGCTACTTCTTCTTCCACCTTCCCGACGCCCTGGAGATCGAGCCCTGTCAGGTGTACTTCACCTTTGACCCCTGCGCGGAGGAGGAGCCCGAAGAGGGCGGGCCTGGGGTGCCCACGGGGTCGCCCCTGCCGCCCCTGCCGCCTGCGAACGGGGACGAGGATGCCTACTGCACCTTCCCCCCAGGGGATGACCTGCTGCTCTTCTCGCCCGGTCTCCTCGGAGGCTCCCCCAACACTGCCCCCGGGGGCCGTGGGGCCAGCGCAGAGAGGCCGCCCTCCTCCCTGCAGGAGGGAGCCCCCCAAGACTGGGGTCCCCAGTCCCTGGGGCCTCTTGTCCGGGCAGCCCCCAACCTGGTGGATTCCCAGTCCTCCATGGAGCTAGTCCTGGGAGAGGCTGGGAGGGAGGACCCTGCCCCCGGCCCCAGGGAAGGAGCCGACTCCTGCCTGGCCAGCCCTCCTGGGCAAGGCTGGGTCAGAGCCCCTACCTCCGGCCTGGCCCTGAACACGGATGCCTACCTGTCCCTCCAAGAACTCCAGGGTCAGGACCCAGCTCACCTGGTGTAGACTGACGGCCAGTGGGGGAAGGCCAGCCAGCCGCTGCGCCAGGCCTGCAGAGGGGCGCGTTCTGTCCTTGAGGACAGTCCACTGCTGAGGATGCTTGGTGTCCAGCTGCCCCCAGACATCTCCATCCAGATGGCCCCACCCAGCCCCACATACTCAATTGCTGCTCCCTGGTCCCCCTGTCCAAGCCAGGATCTGGGTCGGCCTCCCCTCCTCCTCTTTACTCATGGAGTCCCATGAGTGGAGCCTCTGAAGCACCCCTTCTCCTCCATCCCACAGACATTTGCTGACATCTGTCCTCAGGGCTCCCAGGGGTCTTCAACCCAACCTCTGTAATGGGCTTCCTGCCCCAGCCCCGCCCCCTCCCGCCCATCCTCCACAGGACAAGTGCGCATCCACAATACAGATGTAGCCAGGTCCCTCCCCTGCTCCAGACCTGCCATGGCTCCCCATTGCCCAGCTCCATTTCTTGGCCTGGCACTTGCTCCTCCAGCATCATATCAGGACTTTCCCATCTGGACCCTCACCAGGGTCCTACTGAGCCACTTGGAGCTGCTTTGTATCCCAAAACTTTGCGTGTGGTATTTCCTGCACCTGGTATGGCCTCCGCTGCATCCTTCAAATGCCAGGGCCAGTTCTGCTTCCGCCTGGGGAGAAACACTGCCTTCCTGAATGTGCCCAAATCTCCAGATTCCACCGGGAAGGACCCACTTTTAGGAGCACGAGGTGGCTGGAGAAAGAGGCCCTGTTACTTATTTTTGGGGCTTTCTCCTGGGCCCAGAATGCTTGCAGGCTGCATCCTAAATGTGGCCCAAGTATGGACAAAGCGCCCCTGCAGAATGCCCGCTGCCGATCTTTCCACGATGGCCTCACGGCTCACCAGGGAGGCTTGCTGGAAAGTAAACCCTGGCGCGGCCAAGGGGCGCTGCGCCGGGGCCCACCTGCTCCGCGCTGAGCTGTCCTCCAGAAAGCGGGCCCTCAGTGTCTTTTCACTGCACTTGATACCGCACCCCGCACCCCTCTGGGCTCCCTGGATGAGCTGATGGAGGGCAGGATCCCGCACAGAGGCCAAGCCTGCCCCAGCAAGACGCAGCCCTCCCTGCCCATTCAAGTGGCCCTGTCCTTCCCAGTGCTCCTGCCACTCCTCTGCTTCTCTGCCCTCTGCCCTGGGCACTGGTCACACCGGGGTGACCACAGCCTCGCTCCTCCAAAGGGCAGAGGCCAGACCGCAGCCGGCTGACTTGGGTACCCCGTGCTTGCGCTTCTTATGGGTCCCGCTGGCAGCTGATTGGGTGCCTGACCACAAGCCCACCCACAGGCTGAAACTCTGTCCAATCAGGGAGACGTAGCCTTATCTAGCCAATCAGATAACCTCTCAGTCTGAATTCCGGGAGGGAGGGCGGCCTCTGGGAGCAGGTGCTTATGGATGAGGCTCCCAGAAGTGGAACCAAGTGAGCTGAGGGCATCGGGATCCTGACACAGAAACTCTAACTGCCCAGGGCGCTCTTGACAATTTCTGTTTCTTTAGGCCAAAATAAACTCCCCTTCCCTGAGGTTGTGAGAGTCTTGGATCTTCACTGTGGAAAGGGCTGAATCACACCGGTGTCATTTCTCACCTTCTGCCTTAAATTGCTGTGTGTCCTGGGCTGCAGGTCCTGGTCTGGTCACTCCTGAGCTCCACGTTGGCACTCTGCTGTGTGTTCCAGGGCAAAATACAAACCTCTCTGCGTTCAGTTCCTTATCCCCACAATGTTAATAGCGTTGGCCCCCACGGCTTTGAAGAGTCCTTGGGAAGGTTCTGTTTCTCAAGTCCTGGCCTTTCGTGAATATCTCTTTCTCTTCATGAGCTCGCTCGGCCATCATCATATTTTTTTTCTCTTTAAATCATTTCACTATTTTTGTTCAAATTCATTTATTTAAGGAAAACTGCTTCTGTAAATGGGGAAAATGGGTTTCATTGTAAATAAAAGCTAACTGTAAAAAGTAAAAAACAATAAAACAAAATAGTATTTAAATCCATTGCCTGATGGAAATCTGTTGTCTCAGTTCAGTCTAGAGGGGGAAGACCAAATGGAAATTTCCTGCCTGAGCCGAAGCAAAAGGGTTATAAAGGGAATGTCTCAGGAGCAGGAGTGGGTTTCCTACTCTGTGTCCAGCACCCTCAGCCCCATCCTGCACAGGTCTGTGCTTAGGGAAGGGTTCATTTGATTGATGGCTTTATATCTATCTGTATGTGCATGCACGGGCTTGCATGCAGGGCTTGCATGCACGTGCATACACACACACACACACACACACACACACATATCTATTTCAGTGCCCAGAAAAAATAAAAATAAAAATGAAGACCAGGCTGTGGGTGGCCATCCCTGACATTCATAAAACTCCACTCGTGGCAGACATTGCTAATGGATCACAGATCTTCCTGGATGCAGCTTTCGATCCTCCAGTGCCGTGCCAGAGGCAACCTCCTGTTGATCAGAGCTGGCACCCGGTGACACCTGTGGGCCACATAACCTCTTAGGTTCCTTTGTTCTTATTTTTCCCGATTCCTATTTCCCAGGCAGGGAGCGCTGTGGGCTGAGGGTGGGGGGACTGGAAGGCTGACAGGTGTCTCTGAGCAGGCAAGCCCAGGGAGCCCAGCTGTCCCGTCGGGTCTGGTGAGAGACCTGAGCTGGTGGGGAGTCCAGAAAGGTGTCACCCTACACCAGGTGGTGATGGAGTGATGGGCCACAGTCACCTTGTGTCACATCTAGTGGGGATTAGAGCATGGACCTTGGGGAGAAGGGACAGGAGGAGGCAGCTGGCAACTGTGGGAGCAGTGAGGCAGAGAGAGGTCCCCTGGGTTGGATTGCAGGAGAAAGGCCGGCACCAGCTGGGGAAGCAGGAGGCCCTCAGGCAGATCTGGGGGATGGGAGAAAAGAGGCGGGGAGGGCTTCTAGCCGGTCATGTTTCCTTCCTGTGGAGCTGGATTGCTCCTTCGCCCTCCCATCTCTGCTCCTCCTCCACCTCCCAGATCCCGTCCAAGCAACTCTGAGCGCCCACGATTCCCAAGCGGATTACCGTCAATTTCCCCCCCAAAATTATAGGTCTAAGTCTGGGGTGAATAATCCCCTCTGCCTTTCTCCCTGCTGAGTCCCAGCCGACCAGCAAAAGAACCCAAAACCAAACCCCAGCTGACCAAGAGGCCCACTGTAAAGGGCTAAGGGCACTTGTTCCAGGCACTCCCCAGGCGCCTCTCATCACCCGACCCCGAGGGGCAGGTTTTTGCTTCTTATTCTAAGGATGAGGAAACCGAGGCTCCGGGAGGTGAAGAAGGGAACTGTGGTCGACAGAGCCCAGATTCACTGAGCTGCTTCGGGCTGCAGAGCTTTGGGCGCACGGCAAACACAACGCTGCCTCAGAGATCCTGCCCACGGCAGAAAATAGCAGAATTCCATCTGTGTTCTGGCAGCCAACTTAGGAAAAGCAAACAATGCCCCGGTCCAAAGCTGTGACTGGGAAAGAGGAAGGCCCGTCTGAGCTCAGCGCATCTGTGGGATGCACGTGGCCAGGCGCCATCCCCTCCCACAGGGTCCCTATTTAGCCTCTTCCCGGGCCCTCCTGTCCCCACTACCTGCCCCTCCACTCTTGCCACTCTGGGTCCTTCCAGGGTGGTCTTGCTAAGAGCCACACTTGGCCATGTCACACCCTGCTTAGCCTGCAGTGACTCCCTGTTGTCCTGGCTCCTTAAGGCTGTGGTGCCCGACCTGGGAGACACAGGTGCCCCCTCTGCTCTAGTGACTCCATGGCCCCGCCGGTGACTGGGCAGGCAGCCTGGATGATCTTTAATTGTCATCCTAGACCTGGTAGCCTCGAGTCCATGTGCCGCACAGATTGTGGCGTGAGCTTGGGACTCTGGGTTTCCCTTCCAGGTTGGAAGCCAGGTGTGGGGGGTGAGAGTGGGGGCCACAACTGACTCAGGCTTGGTGCCTGCTGATCCCCGGGGTCTGAGGTCATCTGCACCCAAACAATCCACCCCGGACTCCTACCCACACCTCAGGACCCTGTGTGGACATGCCCACTTTCAAGAGGCTCTCCGATATGCCCCAAGTCAGCTGATCATGGCCCCTGAGCTACCTCTGTCAGAACCACCCAGGATGCTACCTATGCCCAGACCCTGGGCAGATTCAGGAGCATGGCAGCTATGGGGCAGAGTCGGCCCCACGGTGCAGCCTGCATGGAGAAATACCAGGCACAAGGAGACGCTGCAGACTTCTGCCCAGGGAAGGAGAGCAGGGTGCGGGCAGGGCCTGGGCAGGAGGCGCTCCCCTGGGCTCCTGCAGTTTCAGAAATGGGTGGTTGGCTGTGGTGCTTGGAAGAGGCAGGGATTGATCATGCAGTTTCTCAGCCACCATTTGGCCATGGGGATTTATCAACAGGCAGTGGAAGAGGGGCTAGGTGTGGGGACAAGGATCTGTGAGGGTCACAGTGGAATATTCTCACCTACGTGCTGTAGACGCTGTTCTAAGCATCAGGCTAACTGGCTTGATCCTTACAACATTGCCTGAGGGAGGTCCTCTTCTAAGGCTCAGAGTTTTCCAGTGACTTGCCTGAGGTCACACAGCCCAGAACATGTTGGAGCAAGGATTCAAACCCATTATCTGTAGCACTCAGAGGGGCCCAGGTCTTTCCAGATTTTAAAGCATGTGCAGGTCTAATATCTCAGCTGATCTCACGGCAGCATGAGACGGAGAGATGCAGATTCTGAGTCCTGTTTCACAGTGAGGAACAGGAGGCCCCTAGAGCATGGCGTCATGTCTCAGGCTACCCATTGAGTTTGGCTGCGGGGGGGGGGGG